ATGCATAGCCCAATTGAAGGGAGAATTTATAAAAGGAGATAGAACGAAACACATTTTACCAAAATTATTCTACACACACGATCTTCAGAAAAATGGTGATATTAATGTGCAACAAATCCGTTCAAGTGACAATCCGACAGATTTATTCACTAAATCTTTGCCAACTTCAACTTTTGAGAAGATGGTATACAAGATTGGAATGCGGAGACTCAAATATTTGAAACAAGGTTTTCATCAGGGGGAGTAAAATACACGATGTACTCATTTTTTTCTTACTAAGATTTTTTCCCACAGGGTTTTCCTTATAAGGTTTTTAATGAGGCAGTTAGAAATGCGTATTACTAAATATGTATACACTTTTTCCTTCACTAGGATTTTTTCCACTGAGTTTTTCCTAGTAAGGTTTTAACGAGGTACAATACCTTTTAATGAATATCCAAGGAGGGAGTGTTATGAAAATAATTATATTGTGGATGTCCATTTATTACTCCGCTATAGATAATCTTCCTGAAAAAAATTACCCATTTAGTACTCTGTTAAAATTTATCTACAAGCAGCTGATGCAGGCAGGTTGCAAGCAGCTCAATGAAATGATTTGCAGCAGCTTCTTATTAAACAGGCAGGTTACAAGCAGCTCATGCAGACAGCTTACAAGCAGCTAAAGAAAAGCCTTGTAGTTGATTCCTGAAAAGCCTCGCAGCTGCTTCCTTTCTTCTATAAATAGAAGAGTTTTCAGTTCATTATGGACATAAGTTTGAAGTTTGAATAATATATCAGTTTCTCTCTATACTTGTCTTTACTTTACAGTTTTTATTTTATAACACTTGAGTTATTTTTGCTTTACCGTGTACTAGTCCACTTTAATCTTTTTCTTAATTTATGGTTTGAGATGACAATAAATATATATTTTTTGTTAGCTTCAATTTTTATTTTGGGATTCTGAGAAATTTAAATTTGTACCGCATAATTGATAAATATGAAATGATGTAACTTTTTTTTTATTCCCTTCCTCCGAGAGCTCCCCACCTTGCTCTTGGGGTGACTCGAACTCACAACCTATTAGTTGGAAGTGGAGGGTGCTCACCACTAGAGTAAACCACTCTTGTATAAAATGATGTAACTTATAATTATATGTAGTTAGGTATTTACTAATGAATTCAGATATTTACTGTGATTTAGGGGTGTAAATAGGTCGGGTTGGTTCGGATTTTCTAATTACCAAACCAAATCAATTGTATCGAGTTATTAAATCTAAATACCAAACCAAACCAATAAAAATCGAGTTTTTTAATCTCGGTTTTTCTCGAATTTTCAGGTTTTTTCGATTTTTTCATAAAGTTTTAATAGCATAAAATGTAAAATTTGTGCTCCAAATATTTCTTTAATCCTAGTAAGGCAGAACTATATAAGGTGTTTTTCAATAAAATAACACAAATATGATATGAATCATGGCATTGTACTAAAATATTCAACAATAAAAATAATAAAATTGCATAAAAATATTATTAATAAGCCATAATGAAAACAAACATAATTTAAAATTACGACTAATAAGTACTACTATTATTTACATGACTAACCACTAAAAGAAAAATAAGTTATACATTTTATCTAAACCATGAAAAAGCTAAAAAATAAATATCCAACGCTATTTTCATTCATAGTACAATTGAATTGAATGTTTTATTAGCATTAGTATTGATTTGATTTTGGTTTAGGGATTATTTGAGTTAAACATTTATGAACTATAAAACTTATTGGAGCATCCCAAAATTATAAGCCCAAACTTGAAATAATATGTTAAAAGATAAAATTATGAAAAAACTTAAGAAATATTTATAAACTACACTACAATAAATATTTTTATGTATTAAATATATTTAAAACTTCTATACATATAATATCGGGTTGGTTTTGTTTCGGTTTGACTTTTTTTAGTTAAAACCAAACCAAACCAAATATGGTCGGATTTTTTTTCCAATACCAAACCATAGTCGTTTTTTTTCTCGGTTTGACGCGGATTATCGGGTTGGTGCGATTTGTCGGTTTCATTTTTACACTAATGTGATTTGTGATTCCTAGACTAGAGAAAAGCTGTTATATTAGGATTATTAAAAGAGCTCCCAGGTTGGAGGCTTAGTATAGAATGATTTTTTTAGGAAGTGGTATTTTTCGGCGTGAAATTCAGATTTGTCCAACCTCAAGCGGGTACCGAACTAAATGAGAAACAAAAAATAATCGTATTGACTTAAAAATCCTTTTATTGGTTTTGGTAAATCAAACAAAAGCTTTCGAAAAAAATATCAAATAAATATCAATATCCATCTCTTTTCATGTTATCAAGATGAATAAGGAATATGCTTAAGACTAAATAAGCATTTACGTGAACCACTAACCTAAGATTCTCTCTACTACAAATATATTCTTTTCTTCTTTTGACAGAACTCTTACATCAACCAATTTGTAAGCATTGTTATAACGCTAATGACAATCACATTTTTCAACATAGATTTGAAACTAACATCTCAAGGTCAGTGTCACATTAATTAGTTATGAACGTACTAAGAATTTTAGAAAAATAGGTACTCAAAGTGTAACCTAATGGTTAATGAGTGGAAGTAAAGATCGAACACTAACAAAGACAAAAACGTAAGGTGATTTCTTTTCATTTGTCTAAGTTTTGGTAGGCAGAGTTATCCGTACATATGTTGGTAGTAAGGTATAAAGTACACGATAAAATAGTCGAGGTGCATGCAAGCTGACCCGAATATCATCGACAAAAAAAGAAATAGAACTTTAATCTTTGTTCCATATTATTTTGACTAATATATTGACATGTTATGATAGAACGAGTAGAGAGTGTAATTAACGCATGATTTAACCTGAATTTTTTTTTATTAATCAACATATTAATAAAAACACTTGAAACCATTTGGTACCATACAATAATACAAAGTCGACAGAAATGAAGTCTGTCAATTATTTGAAGGTTTTTATTATTTCCCACCCGGTGACTGATACATGGACCAAGGCTCCGACTAATCTAAATTCTCACCGCGTAAGGGGTGGATTATTTGGAGTTGACATACAATATAATAAACTTTTCCACAGTATAAATATACTACTCTATCCGTTCCAATTTATATGGCGGTGTTCATCTTGACACGGATCTCTCCCTCCTCCCCTCTTCTATTACTCCCTCTGTCCCAAATATTTGTGTGGCCAAGAAAATTTTAGGTCCGCTTCTAAGGTTAGTGAGAAAAACTACAAATGATATTAGAACTTCTCGTACGCAAGGCAGTGGGAAATGCTACTTTTCTTTTCACCAAAAGAAAAAAAAACATCAAAATGCCGAAGATACATTTTAGCTTGGTTCTAACTTCTAATGTACAACAATGCTTCTGTATAACTACTAGAACAACTAACTCTCTCTATACAACACTCAAAATCAACCCTGCACTGCTAAAGCTTGCAAGTGCTCAATAAAAACTTGTAGGCTCAGTTCTTCCGTAAATATAAGCTCTTTGCCTTCTGTGTATGTTGAGTTGTGTGTAACTGATGGATTCAACTTGGCAAGGAGAAACCTCGCCTGACTACTATGCTGATCACACTTTATAAGCTTTGGCACAGGAATCCTCTCCGATACCAGTTGCTCTGCATCAATCTCTGGAGCTTCTAACAGTTTGCGGAAACTGTCGTGGCTTGGATCCTTCTCATAGCCAAGTTTACGCCATTGTACAATCTTAGAGCCATAATGAATAACCACATAGAAGTAGGAGTCAAAGAGCAAGATAACATCCGGAGAGACGGAGCAGATGTCCAAAAGAACTGGAATAGGGGGACCCTCGAATGAATACTGGAAAAGGGTTGGCTGGACCATAATAAGTGAGCCAACTACCCCCTCACGGTTCAACAACAGACGGAAAAAAGCAGTCTCGTCTGGAGTGCTGTTGAAGACATCAATAAACTGAGACCTCCTTAAATAATACATGAACTGTGGGAAAAGAGATAAATTAGTCGCAAGACGAAACGATGAGGTGTCTTCCTGGATATAATCCCCAAACTTTGAAGCAAAACGTATCAAACATTTATCTAGCCACCGCACAACATCTTTAGAAAAATTGCTCTCTGCTCTATGAATGGCAAGCCTAGCCATCACTGAAGCTGCTGCTTCTTGATCAAAGCCAGCAGCAATTTCCGGAGAGTGGTTCCCAACCCACCTTCTTGCAGCAGTGGTCACCCTCTTCCGAATTCCTGTGCTTCCATATCTATAGTGCGTTATGAACTGTATGAAAAATGCAGAGCTAGGCTGGGCTTTCTGTTCATCCCCTACTTCAAAAAAGAAGGCAATGCACGTCTTGTTAGTAAGTGCCCCCAATTTCCATGTATAGGTACCTCCCTCGCCAATTTCCTTGTCACTGACAGAACCATTCTTCTTCTGAAGAGAAACACATGGACCAAGGGCCCCACAAATTTTAACATCCTTTGTTGTTACTATCTCTATAGTTGCATCAAGGCACATTTTCAAATTACCAGCCTCGTCATGGCTAAATATGTGACGTAAACACTTTCTGAACTGGTCCGAGTCAAATGACTCTGTTAACATCATGAATCCCCCTGAGCTTTCAACTGGAGCTCTAAGCTCAGCTGCTCCAATTTGATCCAATGAACAAGCAAAGAGATCAAGTGCAATGGATGAATTAGACAATCTTCTTGATATTTGCTTATAGAATTCACTGGACTTCTTGTAGTAAGCAGCATAACTATTACCAATGTCTCGATGATTCCTCATGGCATTACCAAGATCAGAGCTTACGATCATCCCTGGGCCAATTGTTGCTGGCCCTGAGGTGAAGAGCATGATACGCGAACCTGCAGAGACCAAGCATCCTTCTAATAGTCCAACAGCAACTGATACTGCTACTCCAGTAGCCCGAAAAGGTCTATGCCCTTGCATAACCTGCGCTGATGATTGGATATCTTCAATGGCTGATGTGATGCTGAACTCCCCTTCTGATAGTGGTATTAGGAATCCCTGTTTTGGAGCCATAGGTACTTTTCCTGCTTGGTACTTCACATGATGAATACCCAGGAGTTGCTTGGTCTGATGATAAAGAAAAATGCAGGGCAAAGTGAGCAAATTGAAATTTAGTGCACAACAAGTTTCTAGAAATTGCTGTTCGGACACTTATCTTCTTTCTATTTTGTTGGTGGGTGCGTGTGTGTTGGGGGGGGGGGGGGCTACTGAACAATTTGCAAAGAGGTAACTTACTTTAATTTGATTGGTTAAGCTGCTTCAAGCGATATCCCAATGCTATTCCTTTTCTTTATGGTTTAGATATTGATCAGTAAAATTGGTCATCCAGAAACACTAAGCGCTACAGAACCTTTTTAAACTAATGTGAGTTTGGGCAACAAACAATTACGCTAAGAATTTTGGCATCTAATGCCTGAACTACCTAGCCCCTTTTTTACAAGTATAATTTATTGATAATGGTGAAGTCGAAGAGGTAGACCAAAAAGTAGAGAATCTACCGTAGATATGATTCTCTACGAAAGACACCCAATCTTCTATACAAAGGAACCTCATGGGTGCTCAAAAGGTCAATTTGTTTACCAGGAGCCGATTCCTCATGTGTACAAATTCAAACTTTTTCCCTTCAAAAATTCTCCTACTTCTTTCTGTCCATACTACCCACATAAGTTCTAATAGTGCATCCTTCACCATACCCGGCATAATCCACTGTATTTCGAACCATCTTAAAAGCTCCACCAGAAACGGATGCTACCTGCCAATGCAGTAAAGAGATGATACATGTCATCTCCAAAGTGTTTGCACATGAAGCAATAGCTAGCATATGTAATCCTCCTCTTGCTCAAGTTTTTGGCTGGCATAATCACCCCTAGCTGTCGACCAAGCAAAGAAAACACATCTCTAAACTAACTAACCCCTTAAAAGAACATTTTTGGTAGCAACCTTTGAACTTACAAAAAAGAAGTAACTGATCCATTGCATTAGTTGTCACTAAGCAGAATTAAGTCCAAGGGTGCAGTAGGAATATTGTTTTCCCGTGTTGTTGTCTTTTTCCTCACCTACGGACCAACATTGCTAAGCATCAGTCTAGAACATGAAATGCATTGCTTCTCCATCCTTTTTCCCATGATTCGGTTTTTACCTTTTTGTGCTTTCTCTTACTTTATTTCTTCAACTCCTTTTACTCTTGTTAGGCGTTGCTTCTCTGGCCGATTTTTCTTTGTACCAATGCAGAAGAAGAGAATACGAGAAAGATGGATAAGTTGCTGGGAAAAAAGTTTTTGCTAGCCTGCGAAGGTGGGGGCGTCGTGCTGGCTGTCAAGAAAAGAGGACTGCAAGAAATATGAAAAAGAATAGGGTGGAGGCCAAGGAAGAGAAAGAGTTGTAGGGTAATAGTAAAGAGGATGATGAAGGAGCATATACTCATTAAAATAGGGTGGAAGAAACAAGAATAAAGTGGGGGAAAGCAGAAAATAACGAGAAAGCAACACGAAATGAAATTAGAACGCGGGGCTACGGAAAAAATGAAGAGAGTAAACAAAGTCTAAAGAAAAGAAGACAAAAAAATAAGAAAAAGAGAAAGGGGAAAAGCTAATGGAGTAGCTGACTTGGTGCTCTGAAATGCTGAGCATGACAAGAAGAAGAGAATATGAGAAACTGAATCTCAAACAATTCTCACAGAGTTGACATTGATCTTAGCTAAAAACTGACGGAAGGGATTAGTTGCTACCTATTAAATGTTGAGGTGGTTATATATCATGAAAGATGGTGTATGGGGTAACTTGCCAAATTTGCAACTGTTATAAGGGGATCTGCAGCACTTTAATGGCCCAACATAATATTTACTTATGTTAGGCACATATTCATTAGTTAGCACGAAGTTTCAAACTAGAATTAAGGCATAGATATGTTATAGCGATGAGATCCCTAATCAAAATGACCCCAATAAAAAGTTGTAGAAGGAGAAGCTATAAATACATCTCAATCTACTAAATGCGTAGCCTTGTTGGCTACAAGGCTACCTAAGACACCAAAGCACTTCCTCTTAAGCTACCTACCTCTTGTGTGTCTCTCATCACAACATATATTTGTTCCTTTCAAATTGATTACCACTGTTTGACTATAAAGTTTATTATCTGTTGATCATGTGCACTATACAAATTGGAGTAAACAGGCCCAGCTGATGATACTTGTTATAATGGTAAATATCATGTTTTATATGAATAGAAAGTGGAGCGTATATTCATCTGCAGAACTAGGAACTTCAAAATGACGACCCTCCAACTTTCCTTTGACGCTTCTTTGCTGATGGAAGAAAAAAGATTAAAAACTTAGTGCGTAGTATTCTTATTCTCCTTAAAAGTATAGTGCATGTCCTAAACATACCCAAAGGTTTCTCTTTTTTCCCCTTTCACAAATTCCTAGAACCACAAAGGCTCATTCCTTGTATATTTATCATTTCTTACTGAAAGAAATGATCAGCATGTTCCCTACTTCATCAAGGTTCGATCAGAGAGCTACTACTCAAAAGCAAGCTTGCAACATGCATAACAGCACTAACACAAAAAATTCTCTTGTTGTTTTTTGATGCATAAAACATTTGGGAGGCTTACACTTTTTAAATTGTGTTATTCTTGCTATAATTACACGATATCTTATACTTCAACAGTATTATTCATTTCACAAAAACAGGTCAGTAGTGATAAATCGGACATATTAGTAAATTGTACTGGATAACCCCATTAGCAAAGACTTGGATAATAATTCTCATTCAGGATTTAAGTTCTATGCACTGACAGTAAGATTCTTTAAACCATCAAGTAAGATTAACCTACAATAATAGGTAACTCTTTCTTTCAAGCATGATATGATAACCTAATAAACAGAGTGGGAACTTCTTATAAACAATTAAATTACAATCTTTACACTGTTTACCTGCTCCGAAGAAAGCTCACGCTCACCGTGAAACATCACAACCCTACAGCACTCTCCAAAGCCGAGATCATGAACTCTAACCATTGAATCAAAAACCACCAACCCAACCAATGCAGTTTCAGGCAATTGAGCAATTACATGAAGTAGCTCATTTTTCACCACCCTAAGCTCCTCATCACAAGTACAAGCATCCACAACAAACACAAATGCCGGGCCAAGCCCATAACCCGCCCAATCCAAGCCCGAAAATGAAGGCATTTTCGATAACATCGACACATTCCCAAAATTAGAGCTCGAATTCGGGTTTTGGGTCAAACCCTTTTTACCCAAATGATATTCAACAGTACTATACGTCGGAAAAAGCTCAGCTGGCACATTATTTTCGTTAATTCCGAGATACGATCTCGGGAACGGGTTTTTCCGGTAACAAAACGGGCAATTCCAGATTCGCGAAGCGTAATCAACACGGGCGTAAGGGTTTAAAACGGCGCCGCATTGAGAGCAAGTAACGGGATCGTAATTAAGTATAGGGAGTTCGTTAAATTGCATTAACGGATTGCACATAATTGATAAAGGGATAATTAGGGCTGAGGATTCGGATTTTGAAATTGGCCATGAATTCCATGACCACCGGAGACCTTCAATTGCCTCCAGTTCCACGAAATCCATGGGAAAATGGAATTAATTTAGGGATATATTGAAATTTGAAGGGAAAATTTAGGGTAGTTAGTTTACATAATTTAGGGTTTTAAGAGAGATTCCGTCGGACGGCCAACGGAGAAAGGAAAAAGGTGGGCCGCCGAGTGAAGGAATGAATTTAACGGGGAAAAAGAAAGATTCTTCTGATAGTGAAAGTGTGTGAACACGTCATAAAGTCACGTGACAGATGTTTTTAGGACTAGACTAGATTTTAGGTAGCTTTTGTTTTGTTCGAATCCTCTAAAAGTATTACTGAATATATATTATTTATAATGATAGTGTTTGAATTAAATTTTACATACTAATTTTATCAAAATCTGCTATTACCCATCGGCAGGGTGTCAATAGATATTTAAAAATAGATTAAACCAACCATACCGAATCGCTTATTAGATTTATTTTAATAAAATCGTATGTTTCTATATAAATTTATAACTGTAAGTTTTTAATTTTATAACTTCGACTAGCGACTTTACCAAAATAGAAATTTTCTTTGATCATCACTTTTAAAATAGTAAAATTATCTAGAGAGTTTGGCTAAAGTCCTATGTAAGTACACATTATCGCATTCTAACTTCGACTAGCGACTCTAGCATGATATTTTTAAAAAATACCGAAAAATTAACTGAAATAATTTGGACAGTTTTGAAAAATCTAATTTTGATTATACAAAATGGAATAACCGAAAATTTAATATGGTACAAATTTTATAAAAAACCTAGCTGAACCGAACTATTGACATCCTACTCATCAGTATAAGTACATATTAATTACTTTTGAAGAATCTCACACAACAACATTCTTTAAGAATCCGAGCAGCATGGGTGATTCACTTGTGATATTTGTGATGCTCGAACTCATAAAAATGTCGGTGTGTTGTTCAAATTCTTTAAAAATATTATTGGGTATGTATCGATACTTTTAGAAGATGTCAATATGTATGTGTTGCTCGAATTTTGTGAAGTATCACTTAATATGTGCTAGTACTATTGGAAGATCCAACGCGTATATTGCAAATATTTTTTAAAAATTCGAGCAGCATAGGTAAACTTTGTTTAAGAAATATTTCAACTTACAAATTGGTATTTGTTTATGTGGTGGAGAGCAAATTTGAATTTTAACTTGAATTTGTTCTTCATTTTGTTGATTGAATATGTACTTCAAGTAAAAAAATTGTCATTAACACTGCTTAGTTAGGTTAAGGTGAAAAAAGAGAAGGATTTGAACTCCTGGTTAACAATAGCTACTTGTCTCCGATTGATCAGAGGCGGATGTAGAATTTAAGGTTTATGGGTGTGAGATTCCAATTCTTTTAAGTTATCGGGTTCTAAATTAATAATTTATACATATTCAATAAATTTAATAAGACAAATACAAGATTTAGACTAAAGTTGTTGGGTTCGACCTATCCGTAACGAATTTTAGTAGATCGATTTTTTTTTTTATGTTGTTCTTTCCGGTAGGAATTTTAGTTGTATCTTAGTAATAGTGTGGTTGATCATTCGAGAAAACCAGCTAAGCATTATTGGCATTGTCAGCATTTGCTGTTTCACAATGAATCATTTTGTATTTGAATTTTCTTTTTTACATTAGTTGCTATGACAAGACCTAGCTTTTCCTTTTTCAACTCACAAATCTTCAATATTTGCAGACTTTCTTTTTCTAAGTTACAACTTTCCAAACACAACAAATACCTTTCTCTTTTTCTTCCAACTTTAATTTCAAATTATTTTTTCTCACCTTTACTTCAATGGTTGTCCAAATACACGAAAAATTTATTTTGGTGCTACCTAACAATTTCCAAATTAAAACCTAGAGAAAATTTTCCACCTTTCTAGTTTGCTAAGATTGTATTTACTTGTAAGTTGTAACACTGTATCATAATTGGCTTGGTCAGTCTTTATCATTTCTCGATGGATCGTTTTATATTTGAAATTTTAATTTATTTTTATAAAGACTTGCTTTCTAATTTTCCAACTTTAATTCACAAATCTTCAACTTTCCCATCTTTTTGTTTTAAAGCTACAACTTTCCAAATACAACAGTACTTTACAAACCTAATACCAATTTTGATTTTTCTAACCTTAACTTCAATGTCCAAACAGTGTTAAGCTTAGACTTGTGGTGATAACCATTTCCAAATTGAGCATTAGATGTGATTCTCTCTATTTTGTGAATCACAATTAAACCATCAGATTTGGATGTAACATATAGACCTCTACTAAACAACTCATCAAATTAAAGTTTATAATACAGTCTTCTGTAAATATAATTAAATCATACAACATGTTGATACAAAATAATAATTTCTGAAAAAAGAATGTAAATTTATCACATTCTTATGAAACACTACTACCGTTACCTAAATTTGATAATGTATAACGTATAATAACCCAATTAATTACATTTGATTTATAGCTGATGTGTGTGGGGATGTGAAAATTTGTGAAAATAAGAAAACAACAATAACAATAACAACATATATAATGTATTTCTACAAGTGAGGTTTAGAGAGGGTAGAATACACAAAGACCTTATCCCTACCTTTTGTAGGTAGAGAAGCTATTTCTGGTTGACCCTCTGCTCAAGAAACGCATAATCACAATATTAATGACAAAGAAATACGGAAAGAGAAGCAGTAACAACAGCCAGAAAATAATAGAACCAGAGCAAACAAAACAACGGATAGTAAAAAAGATCTAAAGTTAGAAAATACGAGAATAATACTAGTACTCCAGATAAGAAAGGAAAATGTTAGGTTGGAAAGAGAAGTTGTGGAAACAGGAAGCATATTGGAAAGCAATATATATTGGAGGAAACAAAATATAAACAATGAACAACAATAAATTCATTGAGACACATCATCATTAAAAAGAAACACATTAAACTATATTCATATTCATTATATCGAAATTTCTATTTAAAGACTTAACCAATTGGTTGAAGGATTTGTTACATTCATTTCGAGTACAGATTTTGATTCTTTTGCACCTATCTCTAATTGTAACTCATCAATTTTCTGAGTCAAATCTTTTTCGAGTTCGTCAATCTCTTGCATCAGCTTCTCGAGTCTTTCCAAATTAGTTGGGTTGAAAATTTCCAATGTAGATTTTCCTTTTTCCTCCTCATTTGTTGCCTTCTTTTCCTTCTTTTTCATTTTATCCTTTTTTCCACAAACTTCAAGCTTTTCATGTGTTGTCTCACGGCTTGACATGTTGTAAAATGGTTGTTTTGCTGGTAAAAATCGCTCAACGACCGATTCTACATTGGGATTACCAAATAAAAACGGTTCAGCAGTAATTGAAAAAATTATAATTGCTATATCAATTCCACATAAGGTGGAAAGATCCATCGCTCTTTTACTAAGAGCTTTTTGCTTATTGGAAAGCGCTACTTTTTCAACACGCTTATCTTTGAGAAATTTCTTCTCGGATTTGTTTTTCATTTGATAGGTCATTCTTGTCATGATTAGCAACAAGATATGACAAGATACAAGTTTCAGTACAGACTCGAGGAGAAATATTTAAATTTATAGCGCAACCTCAGCTTTCAAGTTTTGTTAGTTACAAAGACCTACCCGGTAATTTAAATAAGATTAATTTCTCCCCTCTACTTTATTAATTTAACTAAAATGCCTAACTTTTGGAAGATAGTATATGTGATTATGACATTATTAAGAATATTGATGTTAAAAAACAAAAAAAATGAAATAAAATAATTCCACAAAGAGATTATTTTTCATGCTGAAAATGGAGAAAGACGTTCGATATATTATTTACTCAAATCTGTAAGGAGTATTAAAGGGTAGTAATAAAGTAAGAGTGTCCAATTTTTATCCCTCTAGCATGTTCCAAATGATAAAAAAGGAATTTTAATCTTATATTATTTTCTACTTTGTTACAAATTTAATGAAACTTACCCTTTATTTTTATGTATTTTTAATTTATTATAAAGAAAAATAGTAAAATAGCAGTTACCAATGAAAAAAATTAGAAAGAAACAATTGTTGCATGGAATTGGTGATATTGCAACCAATAAAAAGGAAAAAGAAAAGATTAAAAGAAAGGGGAGGTCAGTATATTTTCAAAAATAGAAGGGAGGTAAGTGTAATTGCATAAAATTAGAGGAAAGCAACAAGTAAGGAAAAGTTTGAAACAAACCCGTATTGTAGATTACCTTAATCTTCTTCCTTTGAATTGATTGCTAAGGATTTCCTTAACTTTATTTAAAAAAGAATGAAAAAAAATAATAATACATATTTTCAAGTAATGTCATTTAACCACTTACTAATATTCTTTTCCTTGATGCTAATTGCTTTATCAATAGGATCTGAAATTTTGAATGGGCAAATCCTTCATCTGCAACAAATGATGCAGATTTTTCTACCTGATTTCTGATTATGTAATATTTATTATATTTTATGGGAAAAGGTCCAAATATATTCCTAACGTTTTAAATTTATTTTATATATGCACTTCGTTTACCTCCGGCTCGTAGGAGCTCCCACTAACGATTTTACACCATCGAAATAATTAATCCATGTAGGATATATTTGGACCTTTTTAATTATTCAAAAATATATTTTGACCTTTGCAATTGTACGGGGCCATGTTTCAAATTATAGTAGAAGGTATATATAAATTAATTTGATAGTTTGGGGCTAATTTAAATCCTTTATTTATGTCAGAATCAACCTGGACAATAATTAGAGATAGGAAGGGGTAAATATGAGATAGAATTAGCAGAGTTTTTATGGATCGAAAGATAAACAGAGGATAAATATAAGATAAATCTAATATTTTATGAATAAATTTGAACTTTTTAGCCAAAGAGATAACATCAATTGAAAAATTTGAGAAATCACATGCATTAAATATATTTATGATATGGAATACAAAATTTTGTCATATGCCAATCCATAGTCTCAAAATATACAATTTGATTCATGTAATTTATAACATGATTAATTTAGTAACTGATTTGGTGTAACAATTACAACCATTATTAAAACATGTCAAGATAAAAAAAAAAGACATCAAAACATGTTTTAAAAAGCTTTGACAAAGACAAGAACAATAGTGTTGTTTTCACGGACAAAGTAAGTTTCCAATAAGATTTTGTAAATAAAAGAGGATCTATATTTTATTTTCTTGTAGCCATAACAAAAACTAAAAGCCGAGATTTTTTTTTTATATACTCACTTGGACTCTTCATTTTTTTCATTAATTTATTAAAATTATGTTGTGCTTTTTTAGGATTTAAGTTGTATTAGTGAATTGTAGAAATTATAATATGTGATAGCAAATTAGTTATTACTACTACTAATAATAGTAACAATAATTATTCATCACTCCAAATAAGTTGGGATTCATTTTTTCCTTTTAATCTCAATTCATATAAGCATCGTACCAAATAAAATAAAATAAAAATTAGTTACATGAATCACGTAATTTTGTAAAGCTACAACTCTTCAAATACAACAATACTTTGCAAACTTTTTGTCACGACCCAAAATTCATTAATGGTCATGATGGCACCTAACACCGCTGCCAGGCAAGCCAACAATAATTGATTAACTCGATTATTCATTTTAGTATTTTGAAATCAAAATTTTCCTTCAATAAATAATCAGAAATAAAATTCACAGAGTAAATGATAATATTTTCCCAATTACCATACTGAAAAACTCATAAGTAACCCCCAAACCTGGTATCACAAGTGCATGAGCATCAACTAGGAAGTAAAATAAAATACAGCATCTGTCCGGAATACGAATTAGACAGGAAAAATACAAATAACCCTGGAGGAGACTCTGCTGGCTACGGATCGTAACCTTAAATGCAGCTCGCGGCAAGTCCCGCATTATTCGTGCCTCCATGCCCAAAGGACCACCAAACATAAAAGTATCTGCACAAAAATGTGCAGCAAGTGTAGTATGAGTACGTAAATCAACGTGTACCCAGTAAGTGTCTAGCCTAACCCCGGAGGAGTAGTGATGAGGGGTCGACATCAACACTCACTAGTGGTCCAATAATATCAGGTATAGTAAAGAGGTGAACAAATATGAGGCACAGTAAATAAATAAAATAAATAAGTATAAATACGTGGTACAATTGTAACAACCCGACCAATTATTTTGCTCTCTAGAACCCTGTTCCCTTAAATAAGACTTTTCGTACATGCTTTTACTGATTTATGACTTGCGGGGATGATTAGTTCGGGATTTGGAAGAGTTTGGGATGGAATCGGATCACTTGATTCCTTAAGGGTTGGCTTGAAAGGCTGTAATGACCCGACTGGTCGTTTTGAATATTTGCACTTTGCTCGGTTGTTTGAGAGCATGAGTAGCTTCGTATGATATACTTTGACTTGTGTGAATCGTCGGTTTTGGGTTGCAGGTATTTCAGAATCGAATTGGAAGAAAGAATTTCATTATTGAAGCTTTAAATTGGGAGAGTTGACCAAAATTTGACTCTTTAGCATTTAAAGAATTTCATTGTTGAAGCTTTAAATTGGGAGAGTTGATCAAAATTTGACTCTTTAGCATTTGACCTTGGATTGAAATTCTGATAGTTCAATTAGCTTCGTTAGGTGATTTTGGACTGAGGAGCATGATCGGAATGTAATTTGGAGGCTCGTGGTAGATTTAGACTTGAATTGGCGAAAGTTGGAAATTCGGCAATTTCGGTCGGCAGTGAAAAAATTGATATCGGGGTCGGAATAGAATTCCGGAAGTTGGGTAGGTTCGTAGTATTATTTGTGACGTGTGTACAAAATTTGAGGTCATTCGGACGTGGTTTGGTTAGTTTCGACATCGGTTGCCGAATTTGAAAATTTAGAAGTTCTTAGGCTTGAATCCGAGGGTAATTTGGTGTTTGGATATTGTTTTGAGTGATTCGAAGGTTTGACCAAGTTTGTATGTTGATATATGACTTGTTGGTATTTTTGGTTGAGGTCCCGAGGGCTTCCGGATGATTCCGGGTGATTAACAGATTTATCGAAGTTGGAAAATGCAGCTGAAGCTGCTGCTACTGCTATTTCCGCACCTGCGGAAGGAGGAGTCGCAGGTGCGTTTGGGGAAACCGCAGATGCGGAGAGGAGGATTTTGGGTTGACTTCGCAGATGCGAAGAGTAACATGCAGGTGCGCAAGCGCAGGCGCACGCTTTGGGCCGCAGATGCGGAATATGGGCTCTTTAGTGAGTTCCGCACCTGCGATGGAAATTTTCGCAGGTGTTGCATCGCAGAAGCGGAAAAAGAGGCCGCAGGTGCGATTGTGCTGGGCAGAAAAGCCCCAGCTCGTGGTTTTGTCTTCATTTTCAATTTTTGGATTTGAGAAACTCAGGAGAGGCGAGTTTTTCCGAAGGTTTTCAAGGAGCAACGTTGGGGTAAGTGATTCTAACCCATAGTGGTATAAATTTTGTGAATCTATGGTTTTGTTCATCATTTAATTAGTAGGATTTTGGAGTGAAAGTAGGGGGTTAGGGCTCGGAATTCGTTAGAGTTTAATTTAAGGATTCGAGGGACCAAACGATGTCGGATTTTGATGAATTTGGTATAGTTAGACTCGTGAGTGAATGAGCTTTCTAGTTTTGTAAATTTTGTCGGATTTCGAGACGTAGGCCCGGGGGCCGGATTTGAACCAATTTCGGGTTTTGGTCTAATTTGATAGTTTTTCTTGTGGAATTCATTCCATTAGCGTATATTGATGGTATTGTACTGATTATAAATAGATTCAGAGCATTTGGAGGCCGAGTCCAGAGGCAAGAGCATTGCAGGGTAGAGATTTGACCGGTTTGAGATAAGTAACGATTATAAATCTAGTCCTGAGGGTACGNGGGCCGGATTTGAGCCAATTTCGGGTTTTGGTCTAATTTGATAGTTTTTCTTGTGGAATTCATTCCATTAGCGTATATTGATGGTATTGTACTGATTATAAATAGATTCAGAGCATTTGGAGGCCGAGTCCAGAGGCAAGAGCATTGCAGGGTAGAGATTTGACCGGTTTGAGATAAGTAACGATTATAAATCTAGTCCTGAGGGTACGAAACCCCGGATTTTGTATCATTCTACTATTTTTAGTGACGCACATGCTAGGTGACGGGCGTGTGGGCGTGTACTATTGGGGATTGTGACTTGGTCCGCCCCGTAGCAACTGTAAAATTGCATACTTTGTTGAAACTATATGATACTTATATGTTTTAGAAAGAATTTGTCTAAATTGGGCTGAATGCCATGTTTGGTCCTTGTGCCAGTGCTGTTTGGACCCTTAGGGGCTTTTTCTTACTATCCTCTCATTGTTTTCGATTGAAAATCTAAACTCAGTCATGTTTATACTTGTTTATCGTATAACTCAGTTTTATGACTCTATTTTCATGCATATAAATATTTTGGGCCGAATGCCCTGTTTTACTGAAATGCCCGAGTGTCTTGAGAGGTTTATGACTGAGTGAGGCCGA